ATATGCACAGACTATATATTTTACACAATAATTTGTATTATTGTCTGCTAAGAAAATTCTCAAATGTCTGAAAAAAAAAACTAAATCCTTATTTTTGAAAGGATTTTTTTATTTCGTTAACAAATAGCGTTTATGAAATTTCATTTTTAATGTATGTAGGTACTTAAATCGAATATAAACCCATCAAAACCGTATATTTTGTATAAGGTTTTTAAACTCACAAAATACTACCCGCTTTTAAAATTTATTGAAGAAAGCTTTTTGTAGGCTTTTTTGGATGACTCCAAAGTTAAATTTAAATAAAAAATTAAAAACAAGAGATTAGCGCGGCAATTCTTTAGCGAAGTTCAAAGGTTTCAATTTACCTACCACAGTTTTTGGTAATTTTTGGTAACAAATTAAAGTTTTAACCCTTAATTAGGCGCATGGAGTTAAGACAATTTAAAGTTGAAAAAAGAATGTGTTAGAATGTTTGGACTGCACTCGCGCTCTAACTAGCTTCCTAACTCCAATGAGGTAAGCAAATTGGCCGTAGCCAGAATATCCACGAGATTAAATAGAAATTATCCCTATAAAAGAAAAGGTAATATCAATGTTATGGTCACGTTATTGTGCTACTATTAGTATGAAGTGGCTGAAAAACGCCCAGGTGGAAAGCGCATAACCACCAAACGAGAAGAGCGATTTTGAATGTTGTCGCAAGAATACAGTTTGTTCAAAGGCTCCAGTCGGAGCACCAGTTGCTTGTGAGTGATCAAACTGAGGAGAAAACTGCATGAAGTTAAGCTTTCATGCTCGTAGACCGCTTCGTACTCCATCACTACGCTGAGAAAATTGTGGGCGAAGATTACGATGGGCTTGTGAAAATTTGCTCTGGGAAAATAACCAGTTGTCTATAGCACTGTTTATTGATGAATTCCTATTCGATATCTATCCCGATTTGTGAAAAGTACATGTATAGCGATATTCTGGTCGTGTGCGCCGTCTGCAACATCCTCAGGTAGACCATCCATACCATGGCAAGACGATTATGGTTTGGGCGGAAATTCGTGTTAGAGAAAGAATAGAACTCGTTTGGAACCGAAACACCATGAGTGCTGAAAAATACCATAACCAAGTGCAACCAAGTGCTAGTCCCAATAGTCTACTCCCATCGGCTACAAATGGGCCAAGATTTAACGCTCATGCACGAAAACGCCCGCTCGCACACAGCGCGAATAGTGACCAGCTGGCTGCAAGAGCATGCCGTATCGATCTTAGACTACCCCGCGCAATCACCAGATCTAAACTCAATAGAGCACGCATGGAACATGCTCTAAATAAGGATTTTGAAGGATTTTCCTGCAAACATTGGGACTGAAGAACAAATTTTTTGGCATCTCAGCAGTACCTGGGATAATATCTCAGACTTTGATTATTTGATTTAAAATATGAAACACCGTTGTAGGACCGTTGCTAACGTCGTAGGTAGTTTTACTGAATACTGATTTTTCGCATAATTGCACAAAACGGAATTATTTCGCTTTAGTTTTCATTTTTGCTTGAAAAACACATTCATCGTTAGTTTTATTATTATTTCACTTTGCGTCTTTATTTAAATAAAATTTTATTTACGCAGAAACTTGTTTTATTATGACGTTTAGTCCGATAAATGGCCTCTATAAAAATATATACAAAATCCGATATATCCCTAAACGATACTGATGTCTGTAGAATAGAATTTAGTTAGCTATAGGTTTATTATTTCCATTTACCGACAGGTATCACTATTCACTGTTTATCTACTACATCTAACATCTTTATCTAAAATATTCTTGTTCTTTAACAGCTCTTTCTTATTTCGTTTTGTGGTTATGACATTTCATTTATAATGGACGTAATGAAATCGAATATGAACTAGAATTTAGTAGCCGTATATTCAGTTTTTCCATTTACGGACAGGTGTCACTGTTTACTGTTTACCTACTATGTGCACTTTATTAGATAAAATATAATTATCCTTATTGACTGGGTTATTCCGTTTATTCACCTTAAAATTCACCTTAGCATAGGTACTCGGAAACGCGTGTTCATCTATCCACCACAGACGCAGTAGATGATCGTAATTCTTATATTATTTTTTCTACCGATTTTCTCCCCAGGCTGCGTACAGTCATTAATATAAACACGATAAAAACTGGCCTAAGATACTTACTAGACATCTATAAAAATATATACATACTTCTTGTTTGAAAGATCAATGCTTAAATAAAAGGAGTATTTTACAACACTTTTTGTCAGGATACAGCCCAATTCGTTTGATGTGGAAATCTGAAATTTCGACAAGTAGTTATCTTTTATGACGTTCATCCACTAAGGAAGGAATTAGGAAAATTCGACCCTAATGAAGGTGTGTGTTACAGCTTATATGAAACTTTTCATTTTACGGGGCGATTTATTCGACATTTACCGAAACCTTTTATAACGTATTTTGCGACCATAATACAACCCCTAACTCCGCGGGATGGTTGGCGGTGTGTTCCCCCCGTCATCAGTTGGATGCAAAGAGAGAACCCAGCAGATCGGCTTTGTCTTTTGCGGCATGAGCCAGTGAGTCATCCTCCATGTGCAGAGATGGGAGAGATGGCTTACAGATGTTCCCTTGGACAGCCTTGGCGAGAGACCATAATGCACGTGTTCCCGAAGGAAGACGAACTAGTTTCTCGCTAATTCTGCCGATATGCTTCGTTGATATTTCGTACTGATGCTTCTTGCGTTTTGCAACGTTGCTTCTCTGTGGTGGTTGTTTGGCAGGTCGCTATTTTTAATGATGCTTTCTCCGTCTTGGTTTGACTCACACCTAAGTAGCTTTGCCTAAGTTGGGTCCCTTGATGACGGAGTTGTAGACTGTCTGACCTTTATAAAGTCTTATAATAACAAGGTAATAAAACGTCTCTGTAAATATCCCACCTTCGAGCGATTGAAGGCAACTTGTTGGAGGGTGAGACAAACATGATCGAAAAATGCATATACTCAACGTCAGTTATACAAACCATTACGGATGGCAAATTGTTATTATCATCTAATAACGGCTTTTTGGCTATATGATTCATTGTATTGGTTAATGAAGCATATGTGTCGATCTTATGCTAATGGTAGGAGGGGGGAGGAGTCTCTCAAGGCTGCAGCCGAAAACCGCTCAACGTGGGACCATATTACCTTTAGGTGAGCAATAGACATCATGACACTCTGTGCAGCTAGAAGCCGTGCTGAACATGCAATCGGTGGTGATACATCATGTCTGCTGGAGTGATGGTCTGGCAGTTGATAGTGCTAACAAAGGGTTTTTTGTAGACAGTGTGCCTATTATTTCGGCGTGTGCCTAAACTGCATGATATTCACTGTGGCTGGTTTTGATCGTATTCTGTATGTTGTTTACATGCATGTCAGCGCGATTTCGGTCGATGTTTGTGCTTACGCACTACCAGAGGCCAAGCCCTTTATTACTGGTTTGCCATTTACTTTACTGTGGACTACGGTCCAGTTCCCAATCTCTCGTCCCTCTTCGGGCATAGCGCGTTGTTTGTTTGGTGAAAAAATGTGGAATAGTGAAGCGCTTGGGTTGGGTATTTTTATAAAAAATATTGTGAGCCTTTTCCAGGTGGGGTGAGATTATTTTAAGGAATTATTTGATGTGAACTTAATACAAGTAGAATAGGAAAAATTTATGTTTCTTACTTTTTTCGAGCCCTTTCTTTGTGAGCAGGATTCTTGACTTAAAATAATCGTCAAGCACAACCAACGGCTTACAATTGGAGTAGTGAATTATGTTCTTCCAAGAAACACCTAAAATAAATATGACAAAAGGCTAATAACTAAACTTTAAGATAGATCTTTGTAAATATCATTTTATTTTGTTTATCTGGTCAAATTAATTCAAAAGTTTACAAAAAACGGCCATTTTATAAAGTATCCTCCGTACTTTATAACATGGTCGTGTAGGGAGGAGTTTTACAATAGAAACGATCAGTGTAACTTTGCCGATTGCATCCCAACTGTTCCAGGAAACTGTACCTGAGAACTTCCTTCTATGCAGGCTACAAAGTCACCATTTGCATGATAGCGAGGGATAGATGGACGTTTGATCACAACGATACACGGAAATAAGTTGCGAAGAGAAATGAAATAAATATACATATTGGAGGGAGCGGCGCAAAACCTTCTTATGAACCAATCTTGAAGCCATTTTGACTAGCAAATGGCCCTGACCTGGTAAAGAAATATCGTATTGTAAGTCAGAGACAGGCACTCAATCATTGTTTTTTGGTCGGTTTAGCTATCTTTGGTCAAACGTGTAGATTAATCTCTCGCTTGATTTTAATTATTATTATTTTAATAATGACGTATAAAACTGTCAACATTACAAATAATTGAGATATCTAAAAACATACAATTTCTTATCCTTATTAATTCCTACACTATTTCTAAAGTGATGACCGTTAGAGCTCAAAGAATATGAGCAGTACCATAGCGCAGTACAAAAAATTCTCTATTTGAGACTCACATCTGTATTAAGGTTAAGGTATATATGTGATATATATTATATTATACAGAACTCTAATAACCAAAAATTAAAAAATCAGTGATACATTTAAAAAATTAATTTGCTTAGATCTGCGCAGTAAAATAAAATAATGTGTCTTATCCAGTTTGAAGAGCACCTACCGCTGTCCCCCATTGCGTGCACTATATTAATTACCTATAAATAAATACCTACTAGTCCGTATCGTATAATGATAGCTAAAGAATAGATAATCAATTAATTATACAACTGTTCCGCAATATATTCCTTCCTTAAGTTTTAGTTTTATAAAAGATGTAACTCAATTAATACACGCCACGACTATAAATAACGTACTGTTTTTTCCAGAAAACTTGTTTCTTACTAACGGCCTTAAAACATGACGTTATTATAGGAAACGGTTTAGAGACTAGATACAATCTGAGCTAGAATGTTTGTTATGCATCTTGTGTGGTTCTCGATTATATTTACCAATGTGGAAACCGCGCGTATATTGGCTGTATTTCCAACACCATCTATAAGCCATCAAATAGTTTTCCGTCCACTAACTCAAGAATTAGTTAAACGTGGCCATGAAGTTGTTGTTTTCACCACTGATCCGGCATTCTTGAAAGGACATGCGCCTGAAAATTTGACAGAGATTGATGTACATGATTTATCATATTCTAGCTGGACTAAATTTGTTAACATGGTTGATATGTCAGGAAATAACCGATTTGATAAATTAAAAATCGGTTTTGATGTGTTATTGAAAGTATTCAAGGAGCAAATGAAAACGAAGGAAAGTCAAGAAATAATATTCGCAAAAAACGCACATTTCGACTTATTATTAGTAGAGGCATGTGCAAGAGCAACTTTAGGGTTGTCTCATTTATTCAAAGTTCCAGTTATTCAAGTGAGTTCATTAGGTGATATAGTAAATAATTACGAAATTGTTGGAGCACAATCTCATCCATTTTTATACCCAACATTATTAAGGGATCGATTATACAATTTGACGATGTGGGAGAAGGTGACTCAGCTTTACATTGCAATCAAATTTTATCATTTAATACATTCTCAAGAAACAAGTGAAAACACAGTTATAAGAGATATATTTGGACCGCATACCCCACCTTTAAATGAATTGTATAATAATGTGGAAATGTTGTTTTTGAATATACATCCTATTTGGGATAATAACCGCCCAGTTCCGCCAAATGTTATATTCATGGGTGGTTTACATGTAAATCCCGAAAAAGCATTACCTAAGGTATCCCATAATTTTCATTAAGTCATTGTAGTACAGCGTGTTAATTTTTTAATTTTATGGAAGTGAAATAATTTTAATTAACATAATTGGTTGCAGGATCTTAAATTCTACCTAGATTCTTCTAAAAATGGTGTAATTTACCTTAGTTTTGGAACAAACATACAACCTTCTCTTTTACCAACTGAAAAAATTAAATTATTTCTTAACGTGTTCTCTAGATTACCATATGACGTTCTATGGAAATGGGATCTTAATGAGCTACCGGGTCGTTCAAATAATATAAAAATTTCGAAGTGGCTACCGCAATATGATTTATTAAGTAAGTATTGTTCTTCATTATATCGTAAAATTTAATTGCTGAAATGGGCCTCTTTTGTTGTAAAGAGGATTTGCTTTTCACTGTTGACGATTGCGAGTGAGTATTATTAAATTATGTAGTTTGATAAAACATACATCCATATGTAGTAATATTTTAAATATTAACGAAATTAATCATTTTAAGGGCATCCAAAATTAAAACTATTTATTACACAAGGCGGACTACAATCCACTGATGAAGCTATTAAGGCTGGTGTTCCACTCATTGGTATACCAATGCTAGGTGATCAATGGTACAATGTTGAGAAATACATATATCACAAAATCGGACTAAGGCTTGATATGCACACACTGGATGAAAAACAATTGGAAGTTGCTATAACTACCATTCTTAATGATGAAAGGTACTTTCTTATTTTATATAATAATCTACATGCAAAAATGTTATCATGATTAGATTACTATTTATATTTATCTTATGAAAGCATTAACATAGTCATCGTCGTCATCATTACAGCCTTTTACAAATCTCTTGCTGCAGGCCTCCTCTAAGTGTGTTAGCCAGAAAGCACGGGTCTAAGACACCTGCATCTAACGGCTTCTTGCATATCTTACTAGGTCATCAATACAAACATAGACGGGGAAGGGGGGCTGCCCTGTACTCATGTTAGTACATTTTCACTAAACTTTGCTTTTTGACGCGAGAAAATCGCAGTTAACTTATGTACCGTACAGAAAGTAGTTCCGTTAGCATTTCCCATACGAGGTCACTAATCCACATGAAAAAAAGTTTTTCATGTTTATCACTTAATTTTATTCAGTTACAATTTTTGATGCGGATAAGTATTGATGACTTTTCACCAACAAGAACCACCATATTCATAAACAGCTGAACTTTTTCCAAATTTCTCATACGGCTAGCAGTGAAGAACTGCGTATCAGTTCCTTAGGGCATCACTGGTAACATACAACGATTGTGTAGTTAATTGATACTGACATTTCCCACATTGATTTTATATTAATCTGCAGAATAAATATGATAAACGGAGATATCATATAATAGAATATGTACCTAATTACTTTATTTATTTTTACAGTTATCGCCGGAATGTAGAACATTTACGTAAAATAATGGCTGACCAGCCTCAGCGACCTTTGGATCGCGCTGTTTGGTGGACGGAATATGTGCTGCGCTATGGTGGTGCCCGTCATCTACGAGCTCCGACAGCTAATATAAAATGGATTCATTATTTAGAATTAGAACTTATGTGCTTTTTGGTGACAATATTATTAATAATGCTGACGGTGTTTTACATTTTAATTAAAATTGTAATAATGAAATTATTAACTAAAAAAATATGCATTAAAGTAAAAGAAAGTTAAAAGTAATTTAAGTTAAAAATTTTAATGAATTACATACATATTAAAATTAAAAAAATATTAAAAAGAAATATAGACTTATTCTTCTCCGTGTTATTTAAAAGTCTATTGCTAGAAATATATGTTTTTATAAAAATAAAAAAATAAAAAAATTCAGTTCAACTAAGACATTTTGGCGCAATGGTTATTATTTATAAATTATTCTATTGCTTTGAAAATTGTTATAGCAACGTTTAACAGTGATGCGCTTTAACAGACATTGTTGTATTTGTAGTTACTGGATATATAACATTTAATTGTTTTTCTAAATATTTAATTATTATCTAAGAAAACCAGTAACAAAATAAAAACAAAAAGCGGCTGCTGGACCTGGCAACCTGTAACTAATTACACGGTTTTTAAAGGCAATATGATGATGTAGGCTTAATAAAGTATTTCGATGTGATTTTTAACGAGATACAAAATTATTTATTGTCCTTCGCCTTACTCAGCCTTACGTAAGCCACTAAGACCAGCCAATTTTTTGATTTTATATTATTGATGGCTATCTGGATATCACTGATGTCATTTCTGACTAACAATAGAATATAATAGAATAGATTGTTTTTTTTTTTAATTCAATATTGATTAGATGTAATTCTTATTGAAAGTCATTTTTTACTTTAGCACTAGTTCTGAAAAAAAAATCTCTGTCCTGGGAAGAACTAGCAAAAAACATACCGGAACTTTTTAAATAAATTTTACAGTAAGAATGGTTGAATGGTACAAACGATTTATAAAATTATTTATTTTAGAAACAGTTTGGAAGCAACCACCTCATTCCCATTCCTATTATTTCCCATTATTATGGACCATGTAATCATTTATATTATAATAACCATTTTCATGCAGTTTTTGTTTAATTTAACATTTATATTTAATAATAAAGAGACCTTGTATATTTTCTGGGGTTTTGTTGTTACAGCGTATACTTTCTTCCAGGAATGAATTACTGACCCTGTGAAGTCGAGAACTGGTATCACTAGCTTGTGTTTGTTCCTAGTGTTTACAGAGTAAATATCACTGCTTTTACTAAAGTTACCCTTGTTTTTGTGAACATACATAAAATTTTCGTAAATATACTGACAGGGTTAAATAACTACATTTATTTCTTTAAACGTTTCTTAAAGAGACTCTCGGTTTTAGGTTCTAAATAGTTCTTATGGCCCTCTTCTGCAAAACCAAAATATTTTCTAAATCAGCCGCATTGCCCCATTGCAAAATCATATGAGATATTATGCTATGGAAATAAATAAAATAAACCAATCTCTGGTAGATTGGTTTCAGTTATTTCAGTTATTCTAGACACTAGTGAGGTCTCTAATCTTTTTGAAAATATATGCTGCAGAGCTTAGTCTGCTTGCTAGTTTAGAATATATGAGGGCCCCACAGAAGCTTTGCATCGAGAGTGTAATAAATCTATCATTGTACCTTATTTATAAAAACTGGGTGTTCTCTATTTCTTATTACTGTGTTGGTTACTTTGATTCTACTGCTTTATTTTAAATATTAGAAGATGCAAACAAACATGCGGCTCCCCTGCGGTAAGTGACTACCGCAGTCCATGAAAAACTGCAATCTGTGAATCGCAGATGCGTCGCTGGCCTACTAAAAAAGAGTAGGCTTTTTTTTTTGAAGGTCTCTAAGTCGTACTGGCCCGGAAAAACTATCAGTGGCTATCGACTCCACAAGGAATTGGTACGAGGAAGAAAACTGCTTGTAAATCGCACAGTAGAAAGTAGTAAAACGTAAATAACCGGAACAACGGTCAACAAATTTTTGTATCCGAGATTTTTGGCAGGTTTTTCTGCCGAGCGGAACAATGAAGCCAAATTCTCCCTAAATAAGCCGTGGTAGCTCAGATAGTTAACGCTCGCTGTAAATATAACAGAACGCGAGTAACCCGGGTTCAATCCCCGCCGGCACCAATGAAATTGTTAATTGCAATTTTAAGTGCTGATTTACCACGTGGTCGGCGGTGAAGGAAAACACCGTGAGGAAACCTGCATGTCTGAGGGATAAGAAAAAAAATATTTCGAAGAAATGTGAAGTTCGCTAACACGCATTGGGGGAGCGCTGCGGACACTTCCTTGCCCTCAAAACCCTCTCATCAATGAGGGGAGGCCTGTGCCCAGCAGTGGGACGTATATAGGCTGTAACTTTACTTTTTTACTTTACAGTTCTTGCGATATAGTTTTTTTACGTTTTGATGAATGCGTGACGAGAATTAATGGATCTGTCTATCAGCCTCTGAAATAAATACTCGACAATTCAAAATTCCATCGAAAACAAATTCCAGAAAATTGCGGATGAAATGTTTGCGTGGCTTAGTTTCGACTTCTTTTTTACTTTGTTGGTTCTAGACTCAGTAAAAATATTTTGCTTACAAACGTTTTAACTCCTGAAGGAGCTGAGGAGATTTCTTTGCCCAAGTCTCGAATGAATAAAAGGCCGACGCATTGTCTACAAACGCAAGACACTATTAAAAACACCAAATTTTTAATCAACAAACTTATGATGGTTATACCATTATTTCTACAGCCCATAACCCAAACTGTATATGATTTACCCAGCTACCTCGCCTAGTGAGTATTGGTCAATTTACCAAGTAATGTATGTCATAATTTTACCTCGGTGATAATGCTTTGTGGCATTACTTGGGGGATTCCTATGTTCAGCAGTGGACTTGTGAAGGGCTGTAATGATGATGATGATGATGATGATGATATTATTTCGTCCGCCAAATAGTGGTGCTTACACTTGCTTATATGAAGAGGACAGATAACCAGTATAATTATAAGCTGTGAGGTATTCCAACTTTGTGATCAGAGGTGCCAGGTGCCGTAGCCTTCTTTGTTTGAATTTGGCTCTAGGTGTCCATGGAATGTAGTATCGTCAAGTATTTTTTTTAATTTGTTTTATTAAAACAATAGAATTTTCACCTATTACTAGTTAGTAGTATTACTAGTAGAAGTATTACACCTTATACTATAATAGAGGCAGTTTATAAACAATGGTGCTAACCATTGCGCCAAAATGTCTTAGTTGAACTGAATTTTTTTTCTCTTTTTATTTTTATAAAAACATATATTTCTAGGAATAGACTTTTAAATAACATGAAGAAGAATGAGTCTATATTTCTTTTTAATATTTTTTTAATGTTAATATGTATGTAATTCATTACATCTAATCTATATTGAATAAAAAAAAACAATCTATTCTATTATATTCTATTGTTAGTCAGAAATGACATCAGTGATATCCAGATAGCCATCAATAACATAAAATCAAAAAATTGGCTGGTCTTAATGGCTTATGTAAGGCTGAGTAAGGCGAAGGACAATAAATAATTCTGTATCTCGTTAAAAATCATATCGAAATACTTTATTAAGCCTACATCATCATATCGCCTTTAAAAACCGTGTAATTAGTTACAGGTTGCCAGGTCCAGCAGCTGATTTTTGTTTTTATTTTGTTACTGGTTTTCTTAGGTAATAATTAAATATTTAGAAAAACAAATGTTATATATCCAATAACTACAAATACAACAATGTCTGTTAAAGCGCATCACTGTTAAACGTTGCTATAACAATTATCAAAGGAATAGAATAATTTATAAATAATGGCTGCAGGTGTCCATGCACCGCAGTAGCCTCTTACCGTCCGGTCAACTGTGATTTCGCTTATTACTTAAGTTTGTAAAACATATTATATACTTGATTTGTAATGGTTAACTTTTATTTAATGACAAATTAATAATTGGATTCATATTATAATAATATGTCATAAATAGAGTTTTTGGTTTCATGTAATATACGCTCTTTTTTACTGTTGTTAGAATTAAGAAGGTTAAATACATATCCATTTATTATATACTTTGTATTCTTTTTATTTGTTCGATAGAAATCGATGTATCAAGTATAGTTGATATATATACCAATTAAATTAATTTTTAAAAAAAATCTGCGTAATTTTTAAGAAGAACCATGTAGTCATAACCTGGTTTCCTGCCATTTTTTGCATTTTATTTTCGTAGTAGGTTATCGTAAAAAAATCAGAGTAGCCTTATATATATATTAATATAATAATAATAATAATAAAGCTCTTTATTCCAATCTAATAGCATTTAACATTAAAACTTAAGATAAAAGAATCTACTAACTATAAAATGTCTCTTAGTTAGGCGTTCCTATTGGCAAAGGCCTCCTCCAACGATTTCCATTGTTGTCTATCTAGAGCAAACCTTCTCCAGTTTGGTCCTGCTGTAAGTTTTATTTCGTCTTTCCACCTTGCATACTGCCTTCCTCGTCTTCTTTTGTTGTCCCTTGGATACCATTCTGTTACCCTCCTGCTCCATTTTCCCATCTTGTCACGCATCATATGTCCTGACTATCTCCACTTCTGTTGATCGATACGTTTGAGTATGTCATTAAGTTTCGTTAAATGCCTAAGGTGTATATTTTTCTGATCTTATCTTGTCTTTTATAGCCGGTCATATTCCTCTCCATTGCTTTTTGTGCCACTGCAAGTTTTTCTCTCAATACCTTTGTGCAAGTATTAAATGCTTTCCTTTTTATTGACATGCTTAAGTCTTAGGACTTCATGATCTCTTTTAATGACCAGTATTTCTTTCAAGCTGTTGCGATCCTAAAGTTAATTTCTTTCGTCATTTGATCTTCTATGGAAATTACTTGACCCAGATATATGTAGTCTTTTACATATTCTAGAGTATTGCCGTTTATTGTGATGTTAAAATTTGTGCTGTTCGTCATTATTTTGGTCTTGTTAGGGTTCATTTTTAGTCCAACTTTTATGCTTTATTCATTTAGATTACTTATCATATATTCGAGATTTTCGGGGCATTCTTCAATTAATACCTGGTCATCGGCAAATCTTAAATGATGCAGTTTTGACCCGTTTATATTGATGCCATACTTATCCCAGCATAGGTTGCGAAAGATATT